GACGTCTGTTTTACAGACATTCTTTCTGTCCAGTTTCACCTAAGGTTTGGACTGTATAGGAACAGTGTGATGACTCCGGACTGTTCATGTCTATAGTGAGTGCGCATCTTTCTCTTCCTGCCCTCGGCTCCGGCGCAGGCAGGGTGATGCTCCAAGCTCCTGCCAGCGGGGAACTAAGGTTTTTAAAGGCCACTTGAGCTGACATTAGTACCTTCTGGTGAATGAGAACAAAATATTTGGGACTGAACATACTGCAAGGTACACATTCGTAAGAAACGTTCTAATAACAATTAGAGCACAAAACTATGGGTATAAACATTTTTCCAAAAAGAGAAACTATTGCATTTTGTTAGATGGGGCATCCTGGGCTGAGGCTTGTCTTCCTTCTTTGTGGCTGCTTTGGGGACAGAACTCCAGCACGCAGCTGTCCAGGTGCAGTGGCTATGTGTTTCCATGGAGACAAATTTGGTGTCTCAAGTTCAGGGCTTCGAAAGTCCCGAATAGTTATTTGTCCCCAGAGAAGTTTTGACTTTGAAGAGGTCAAGGTGGGACTCACTGGGGATTAGGGTACTCCCGGATTGATTCAGAGGGAGGTATTCTGGAAGACTCCGTGGACCAGGATGCAGGCACTGCTGTTTGGACAAGGACACGCGGGATGAGTGCTTTCTGAAGTCACGGCTGTGACACTGACCCTGTTGGACAAACTCCATCCAGAGCCAGCAGCTTGATGGTGACGGTGAACTTGGACAGAACCCCAGATCCTTCTTGTTGCTGGTAAAACTGTGGTTTTGATTTTTTGAAAGACACTGCTGTGTCCTGGCATGAGCTGTCCCATTTCTGTGGCTTGTTCTTTTTTGAGCCGCGGGTCTGTCTGGGGCCCAGCAATTGTCAGCTGCCCCTCAAGTCCTCTGGCATCTGGAGATGGGTCCCTGCAGCCCGCTGGCCTCCAGCCTCAGCGCATCAGGTGGGGCAGTCTGGCTCTGACAGGCCACAGGGCGCTGGGCCCAGGGGGTCTCTCCATACGGTGGTACCAGACAAGGGCACTGCGCTTTCCATTCCTGAGGGACTCCAGGGACACTCTGTGCCCACCCAACAGTGGCAGATGGGGGGGAGATGCTGTCCCTTACTATCTGGGCTCTGCCAGATTTAAAAAAATTTTTAAATTATGGTGAAAATTGGTTCCAGTTGAGTGCAAGGGCCAGCGCTCTCTGCACAGCCCCTTTAGCTCTTAAAGGGACTGGGGCCAAAGTCCAGAGTTCCAGCAGAGGAGGGTTTGTGCAGAACAAGGAACCCACGGTCTGGTGTGCCCTGGTGGCTGCACAGGGGCCTGGGTACCCAGAGCACAGCCGCAGCTGCTTTTCTTCCTGAATTATCTTGACCTTTAAGGGCACGCTGACCCTGGAGCCCCACTCGAGCCAAAGTAAACATCGCATCGTCTAAGAGGCACTAATTCGGTGCAGCCGGCGAAGTCCAGGTTCCCAGAGCAACTGGGTGGCATCTTCTGGAGCCCCTCGGGGCTAGATGCCCTGCAGGGAGTGGTTGGGGTCGCTGCGCTCACGCTTCACCAGGGGCTCACCCAGGCTGCGGGCGTCCGGGCCTGCCTCGCTACTGCGCTGCTCATCACCCATGTCGTCTGCAGAGGGAGGGGCAGGGTCAGTGTCCATCATCAGGAGGGCACGGGAGGGAGAGGCGGAAGCGCACGTTCGGAGAGCTGCTCCGCACGCCAGGCAGGGTGCTGAGGACACACGGCAGCCCGTGTACCCTGCCTCGACCTCTGCTCCAGGCGGACTTGTCCTCCTCAACTTGCTTGGTCACCCAGAGGTGCCCCTAGGTTGGGCTATGCAAAAGAGCCTCTGCCCTGTGCCTCTCTTCCCCAGTGCCAACAGGCCTGGGACCTGCTCCCCAGAGGTCCACCAGACCTCTGGGGTCCTCCTACCCATATGGGGTAGGGACGCGGCACAGGGTCTCTCTGGCCTGCCTGTCCCACTCTTCTGCGGGGCGTGGGCACAGGAGACCAGGGGCTGCCTGGTCTGGGCCTGGTGCAGAGGTCCCTGAGCAGCAGCTACCCAGAGGCAGGGCCACACTCAGACCCAGCCAAGCCAGTCTGCAGGGATGTCTGCTGCCCAAGCATCACCCGCCATCCAGATGCCAGATCCCAGCACCCTCACCATCACCCAGGGCTGCCCAGATTTCCTCTTGCTCATCAGGTTGGCAGACAGGCCAACCCTCCCAACCCACCGACGGCTGTGGCGGGAAAGCCACAGATGCACCCACCTTTGTCAAGCAGCGTCAGCGACAGAGAGGCAAGATCATTGAACTGAAAGAGAAACCCGGAGTCAGGGCGCCTGCAGAGGGGTGGCAGTTGCTTTTTGGGGGCTCTGGGGATGCTGGCCCAACCTTGCCTGGAGCCACATTCTCCATTCACAGCAAAGCAACTGGGGTCTGCCCTGAAAAGGGGCTCTGATGCTGCCAGGTATCTATCTAGGCAGGTCCCCGTCCCCTGTCCAGGCCGCTTCTGGGAGCTGCTGGGGGTGAAGGGTGCTGATTGCTCCAGGCAGCGAGGGAACAAGAGCAGGCGCCCAGGGTAGGTCCCCGGGGTGTGGCTGCTCCAGGTTTTAAGGTGGCATGGAAGGGCTGTGGGCTGAGCTATCTCTGCTCCCTAAGGTCTGTACACAGCATGAAACCACTCCCTGGCTGCCCCAGAGCCAGTGTCCATGCCAACGTGCAGAGAACAGCTTCCACAGTTTCTACACACGCTGGGGCCCTGACCGACTCTGAGTGTTGTGGTAAGAGTGCTGGGACCCTGCCGTTCATCAAGCGTCACTGCGTTTCTTCCTCAAGGCAACCCCATGCAGCCCAGCAGGGCCACTCTGAGGTGTGGACCCTGCAGAACCGAACAATAGGTGTGCACCCAAAACCGCTCCTGCAAACGGCAGCGCCGTTCACAACAGCTGGAAAGAGGGAGCAGCCCAAGCAGGCACAGCGGGACGAGTGGTCGGCACAGTGCGGCCGGCCACGCACGGGAACACGGCTCAGCCAGTAGGGAAACCAGGCTCTGACCCGGCCACACCAGCGTGGGGACAAATGCTATCACCCTTTGTGTATGTGACCACGATAAAAAGAAAACCTTGGGTGGTGTGTCCAGGGCCTCCCCTGCGCGGCAGGACGCCCAAGGACAAACTCCTTCCAGAGCCAGCAGTTTGGTGGTGACGGTGAACGTGGACAGAACCCAGATCCTTCCCGGTGCTGATAAAACTTCTGGTTTTGATTGTTTGAAAGACACTGCTGTGTCCTGGCATGAGCGGGCCCATTTGTATGTTCTTTTTCGAGCTGATTGGTCTGGGTGGCAGAGCGGTGGGACCTACAAGTATCCTCTGTGGGCCAATCAGAGCCCACTGCCCTCTCCCCACAGGCCCGGCCAAGCCCTCGCCGTCCCACAGAGCAGGGTCCCCACCTCTCCCATCACGGCAATTGGCGTCTCCCCGGTGGCCTCGGCGACACGGTGCTCTACCAGGTAGAACATGTATTCGTCGTAGAGCAGGCGGATGAGGTGGAAGGAGCCAAAGCTGGCGGCGCTGCGCAGGGTCAGGTCCCGGATCACCATGGAGCTGGGGACAATGGACAAAGGCTGGACATGCTCAGGGGAGCATGGAACCTGGGCGCTGGGCCAGGCTTCATGGCAGCGACACGCACCCTGCTCTGTGTTCCCTGGGGAACCCAGACCCTGAGTGACCCTAAGACCTGCTGGCCTATGGGGGGCCGACAGGCCGCCAAGACCCTGGGTCCAGTGTGATGGACAGGCAGGGCAGGGCTGCCCTCTTAGTTCCAGAGACCACCCGGGGGACAGGAGAGAGAGACGGGCAGTCAGCCCTAAGGCGACAGGCTGCTGGAAACACAGTTGTGGCTTGTGCTGGCACAGGTACTGGAGACGGGATCTTAGCTGGTGAGTCTTTCTAGTGACATTTCCAGCTCCCAGTCTGAGCACCTTTCCCCACCTTTCCCCACCTTCCCCGTCTCCTTACCACCTCCCACCATTCCTTGGCCTGGGGATGAAAGGCCAGGGTGTCTCCGTGTCTATCACCGAAAGCCCTCAGCCTGTGAGTTGAGAATGTTTTACATTTTGAAATGGTTGGAAAAAGTCAAAAGAATAATTACATCTGGTGGCATGTGGAAACTATACGAAATTCACATTTCGATGTCCACAAACAGTTTCACTGGCACGTGCCATGCCTATTCCTGTATTGCCTTTCCTATGATGGCTGTAAATACTGCCTGATTCTTTCCAGGAGAGGCGGCCCCTACCTAAGGGATTAATGTAAGACCTAAAGGGGCTGGGCACAGTGGCTCATGCCTGTAATCCCAGCACTTTGGGAGGCCGAGGTGGGCAGATCACTTGAAGTCAGGAGTTCTAGATCAGCCTGGCCAACATGGTGAAAACCCATCTCTACTAAAAATACGAAAATTAGCAGGGCGTGGTGGCGGGTGCCTGTAATTCCAGTTACTCGGGAGGCTGAGGCAGAAGAATCACTTGAACGTCGGAGGCAGAGGTTGCAGTGAGCTGAGATCACCTCACTGCACTCCAGCCTGGGCGACAGAGCAAGACTCTGTCAAAAAAAAAAAAAAAAAAAAAGGATGAGGTGGGAAGTGGAACCCTGTCTCAGCCCCCATAAGACCTAAAGGACTTATATAAAATGGCACCTGATCAAAAACTTTGACCTACAAGCCAGGCAGCCCCCAATGCCCAAATGCCCCAGCTTGAAGTAAACTTTCATAAATTCTCAGTTACATCTAGTCGGTATTGTAGCAATGAAAAGAACACACAGCCTTGAGAAAAGGGAAGACAGCCGCACCATGAGAACCGCCGAAGCTGTCTATACTTAGGTGTTAAGCACAGCTGCGAGGCCCCCAGGCCCCCCTGCTCCCCTGGACCCACCCAGCTTGGCTCCCAAGCCCCCTTTCCCCAAAGGCCTCCGCATGCAGATGAGAGGCTGTTACTCTGCACCCACCCTCCCACAGCCCCAGTGTCTGGAGCGATGCTTCAGTCCACACTATTTCCAGAACATGGCCTGCAGTCACCTCGCTATTTCTGGGTTTCCCAATGGGCTCACAGCTCCCAGAGGGCAGAAGCATGGGCGGACCACCACTAAGGGGGGCCCAGGCAGAGCTTGGGGGTCAACCAGCCAAGGCCCCAGCCTACCTGCTACCATTTTCTAGCAGGCGCTACAGAAATAAATCCCGTAAACCTCGTTTTTATTTGTTATGACAGCGCTGCACGTGCAAGAGGATGCAGTCAGGCTGCGTGTGGTAGCTCACGCCCGGAATCTGGCACTTTGTAAGGCTAAAGCAGGTGGATCACCTGAGGTTAAGAGTTGCAACATGGCAAAACCCCGTCTCTACTAAAAACATAAAAATTAGCCAGGCCTGGTGGCATGCAGCTAATTTTTGTAATCCCAGCTACTCGGGAGGCTAAGGCACGAGAATTGCTGGAACCCAGGAGGCGGACGTTGCAGTGAGCCGAGATCGCGCCACTGCACTCCAGCCTGGGCGACAGGGGCAGATTCTGTTTAAAAATAAGAATGAAGTGGAACAGTGTCTCAGTCTCCCTTGGGAAGAGCATCCCCACCTTGCAGAGGCCACCCTGATCGCTCCAGCTCTGAGCTGTGCTCTTCTTTGGCGGGCAGATGCCTCAGTCCTGCACTCACTCTGCTCGTCCGGATTCTTCCACTTGCAGCCGTCCCTCTGTCTGTGGAGACGGCCATCAACATCCCTATGCTGTCTCTTCCCTTGCTCTTCCTCCCCCGTTACCCCAGTGTGGCTTTACTGTAATTTCTGGCTACGCTGGTGTTTCTGTTACGTGGCAAGGGTGTGCTAGGTCCACGGCGGAGCCCCGGTCTATTAGGCGTGGGGTTCCTCTCATTCATTCACTCAGCCAGCATTTAAACAGAAGCAAGGTCCCGGCACTTGGGTAGCGTGCTTGATTATGCAGGAGACAGACAACAGACAATTGAAGAGATGACAAGGGACAGCTGATGGTTGCTGCCAGGAGAAAAGCAGGGCGTGGGGCATGGAATGTGGGAAAGAACGGGCAGTCTTATTTACAGATGTTCCAGGCAAGAGGGGGCAGGTGCAAAGGCCCTGAGGCAGTGTGGCCAGGGGAGTGTGTAAGGAGACAGCTGAGAACAGGGAGACACTGGCTGGCCAGCTGAGGGGTCAGCAAACGTGTTCTTGTTTTTTTTTTTTTTTGAGACGGAGTTTCACTCTTGTTACCCAGGCTGGAGTGCAATGGTGCGATCTCGGCTCACCACAATCTCCACCTCCTGGGTTCAGGCAATTCTCCTGCCGCAGCCTCCTGAGCAGCTGGGATTACAGGCATGCACCACCATGCCCAGCTAATTTTTTGTATCTTTAGAAGAGACGGGGTTTCACCATGTTAACCAGGATGGTCTTGATCTCTTGACCTCGTGATCCACCCGCCTCAGCCTCCCAAAGTGCTGGGATTACAGGCTTGAGCCACCGCGCCGGCCTTCTTTTTTTTTCAGATGGCGTTTGTCTCGTTGCCCAGGCTTGAGTGCAGTGGCACAATCTTGGCTCACTACAACCTCTTCCTCCCAAATTCAAGTGATTCTCCTGCCTCAGCCTCCCAAGTAGTGGGATTTCAGGCGTCTGCCACCACACCCAGCTAATTTTTTTGTATTTTTAGTAGAGACGGGGTTTCACTATGTTGGCCAGGCTGGTCTTGAACTCCTGACCTCAAGTGATCCGCTAGCCTCAGCCTCCCAAAGTGTGGGGATTACAGGCGTGAGCCACTGTGCCCAGCCAGGCAAACTCATTTTCATGCCAGACAGTAAATATCTTCAGCTTTGTGCCCAACAGTCACACAGTTCTGTTTGCAATGACAGCTGATCTGTGAACAAATGCGTGTGGCTGAGGTTCCAATAAAACTTTATTTGCACAATGAGCTGGGGCAATGATATGGTTTGGCTTTGTGTCCCCACCCAAATCTCACCTTGATGTAACGATCCCCATGTAGTGTGGGAGGGACCCAGTGGGAGGTAACTGAATCCTGGGGCAGTGTTTCCCGTGCTGTACTCCTGACAGTGAGTGAATCTCATGACATGGATCGTCTTATAAAGGGGACTTCCCTGCACATGCTCCCTTGCCTGCTGCCATATAAGATGTGCCTTTGCTCTTCCTTGGCCTTCCACCATGATTTCGAGGCCTCCCCAGCTGTGTGGAACTGTGAGTCTATTAAACCTACTTTTCTTTGTAAATTACCCAGTCTTGAGTATGTCTGGATTGGCAGTGTGAGACGGACCAATACAGGCGGGGCTAATGATGTGGCCCTGGGGCCATAGCTCGCCATGCGCTGGGTCGTGTGGGACCCCCCCAGCCACAGAACAGCTTTGCATTTCCTGGTAATAACCGTTTTTGTTTGTTTGTGTGTTTTAATCCACACGTTTCACTCAGTGAGACTAAAACCCCTGACAGAACTGCAGGAGGCATCTTGGTGCCTTTCCTGGGGATGACCCCTCCGGAAGTCCTGCTCCCCAGCGCTGGTCGCACAGGGTAGGTCTGTAGCCTGGAAATACTTTCCCTTCAGAACGCCCAGGACATGGCTTTGCTGCCTTCCAGGTTTCTGCATCACTGTTCAGAAGTCTAACGCTGCTCCCATCCCCAGCCTGTCATCTTCTCTCTAGAAGATTCTATGGTTGGTTCTCAAGCTTGGTGTTTTGAAATTTCACCAGAAGCCTCTTTGGGGAAAGTCGGCAGCTTTTTTAATTTGGAGACTTGTGCCCTTCGGATCTGAAATAGTTTTTTTTTTCCTTAGTGATGGGGTCTTGCTCCATCACTCAGGCTGGAGTGCAGTGGTGCAATCTTGACCCACTGCAGCCTGGACTGCCTGGGCCCAAGGACCCTCCCACCTCAGCCTCCCAAGTAGCTGGGATCACAGGCACATGCCACCATGCCCAGCTAAGTGTTTTCACTTTTTGTAGAGGTCCTGCTATCTTCCTCAGGCTGGTCTTGAACTCTGGTCTCAAGCCATCCTCCAGCCTTGGCCTCCCAAAGCGGTGGATGACAGGTTTGAGCCACCATGCCCAGACTCCAGCGATGACTTCTGTCTACAGAACTTGCAAGTTCGCTTTTGGGCCATGGTGGCCTTCTGGGCCTGACCCGGGAAGCTGCTGGTCAGGGTGAGGCCCCCAGCCAGGTACTTGTCTTTTTTAGGTTTAGGCACTGCTGCGACTCTGCTGAGCCGATTTTCTCTGAGCTCACCAGCCCAGCCCCCTACCCCCTAGAAGTTTCTCTCAGAGCCCCCCACCTGTCAGAATTCTCTCAGTCTGGCGGGACTAACCTGTAAAAGGACCATTTCAGCAGGAACTGCCGGGCGGCCTTCGGGAAGCTGGGGCTGCCGGCATGCTGCTTCAGGACCTGGGTGACAACGCCATCCAGCCAGCTGGCCCACTGGTCCAGGGAGCTCTGCTGCTGCAGGGTCAGCTTGAAATCCTGCTCCAGCCGCTGCACCACGCTCTCCTCGCACTGGCACACCCACGAGGCCTGCTCCTGTGCAGGGTGGAGGCCAGCGTCAGCACCGCAGGTCCCCAGCCACGGCAGCCCTCCCCAGACCCAGCAGTGCTCGGGTGGGACGTCGCGCTGTGCGTCAGCCTCCTTGCCCGTGACCTTGACAGCAGCAAGCCAGGCCCTGTGTCTCCCGTCACAGGCCCAGAATAGACAGCCGGAGGGGGACCCACCCGGCTTCTGGGGACTCATACCTGGGTCTTTCTAGATCAAAGCTCATGCTATACAAGGTCTTTGTTTAGTTTTGTTTTGAAGGGGTCACTTCTAAATATGCGTGTGCATTTATTCATTTAATAGACAAATCCAGGGCCTGACATAGCTCGGGATCTGCTGTGGGCCGGCACTTTGCAAGCTCAGGGGACAGAGCCAGGAAAACGGCCAGAGGGAGGCAGGGAGGTCAGTATGCTGCTGGGATCCTTGAAGCTGGGAGCCTTTGTGAGGAAAATGAGCAGAGGTGTTGGCTCCAGCGCAGGGACGCCAGAGGGCCCTGAGAGGCGCTGGCATGGAGGAGCTGGGGGCTGCGAGTGGCTTTGGCCTGGGACCCGCATCATGTAACAGAACCGTGGCCAGGCTTGGGGCCAGGGGCCGGGTTTTGCTGTGGGCTCCACTTTGTGGGTTTGCTGGCTCTGCTGCAGGATGCAAAGCCCAGGCACTGGGGATGGTGTGGAGGAGGTCACCTGCACGTTGGCAAAGTCCACGCGGTTGAGGTCGCTGAGCATCTGGTTGATCTGGGACGTATTCTGAAGCACTGCCCGGGCCGCCTGCGCCAGGTGGTTGAGGGACGTGTAGCGCCGCAGCGTCTGGGCAAAGGCACTGACGACGCCCACCTGGACGCCAGGGCGAGTGGTGAGCAGGGGTTTGCAGGGAGAGCCTGTTCCGCTGCGCTCCTTGCAGGGGTGTGTGGGCTCAGGGACAACACGGGACGGGGGAGCGGGAAACAGAAACCGGGCAGGGAAGAGGGAACCCCCTGCTATCCTTAAGGGCCCAGTGAGTGAGAATTGGAGTGCAGGGTGAAAAGGAGACCTTGTCAGCGCGTCACACGAGTCACTAACTGAGGCCCGTGGCGCTGCTGAGTTAGAATTCACAATCACATCGCCATGCCCACTTCTAGAGTCCCTGTGGTTCTCTGGAGTGGCTGTTGAGACCACAGACTCCTGGGTGCTACGGGGTCAGATTTGGTGGGTGTTGCCTGGGGATCTTATTTTTTGTTTAAGAGACGGGGTCTTGCTTGTCGCCCAGGCTGGTCTCAAACTCTTGGCCCCAAACGATCCTCCTGCCTCGGGCTCCCAACGTGCTGGGATTACAGGTGTGAGCCCTGAATCTGACTTTTTAACAATGACCTGATCAATGCTTGCACCACTGCCTAACAGATCAATTTCGAAGTGCAGGTGGGTGGACCAGATGTCCTGCTGCTGCCTCCTCTGCTCCCAAGAGCCCTTTAAAAATGGTCATGATGGCCGGGTGCAGTGGCTCACGACTGTCATCCCAGCACTCTGGGAGGCTGAGGCAGGTGGATCACCTGAGGTCAGGAGTTCAAGACCAGCCTGGCCAATATGGTAAAACGCTGTCTCTACTTAAAATACAAAAAATTAGCCAGGTGTGGTGGTGGGTGCCTGTAATCCCAGCTACGTGGGAGGCTGAGGCAGGAGAACTGCTTGAACCCAGGAGGCAGAGGTTGCAGTGAGCTGAGATTGTGCCATTGCACTCCAGGCTAGGTGACAGAGTGAGACTGTCTCAAAAAAAAAATGTGAGAACGATAGGTAATCACTCTCTTTCCCACAAGTCGGCCAAGGTTCTACATTTCACATTCTGATTTGTGGCCAAGATTATAGTAACAAGGGTCACAGCAAGGAGATTAAATGTCCCTAATAAGGTGAGCACAGAAACACACAGTCTGTTCTGAACTGACCCAAAGATATGACATCCTCTGTTGCTCCCTTCCTGCCAGCACTGATGCATCATCAACAGTGTGCTCGGGGCTTCCTGAAGGGACTGGTTATGCTCATGACACAGGGAAGAAGCCAGCGCACTCTGGGGCACAGTGGTCCTCACGATGATGTGGAGTGGAGCCCCTCCCAGCCACAGTCGGGGAGCCCGGGCCCCACCACGGATGTACCTTGGTCTGGATGACCTGTTGTGGGAAGTCGCTCATGGCGTTTGTCAACCAGCCTTCCAAGCTCTTGGCAAAGTTACGGATAGCCTGTGTCAAGGTACCTGGGGGATACAGACGTGATATTAACAGGGAGAAAGGCCGTGTCTGGGCCCTGGAAATCAGCATTCAGTGTGAGATGGCCCAAGTGCAATGAAAATGAGCCCTATGAAGAAGCCACACAGGAAAAGAGAGGACTGAACAGGCACAGGGCAACGGAGAACCAAGGACTCTGAGGAAAGGGAAGAGCTGGCCACGGCCCCAGCCGCCGGGCACCACCCATCTATCACTGAGGGTCTCACAGGGCATATTCTGCCCCGGGGACACTGGGTGATGTCTGGGGATGTTAATGGTGGGCAGGATTGTGGGCTGCCTCTGGCATGGAGTGGGTGGAGGCTAGGGATGCTGTTCAGCACCCCACAGTGCCCAGGACGGCCTCGCCCCAGAGAACAGTCCAGCGCCAGATATCAACATGCCAAGGGAGAGACGCCTTGACACACACACACACACACACACACACACAGAGACAGGCACACACACAGACACATACATACACACACACATACATACACACACACACACAGAGACAGGCACACACACACACAGACAGACAGACACATACAGACATAGACATACACAGACACACACACAGGCACACACAGAGACACACAAACACAGACACAGAGACACACACACAGACACAGACACACACAGACACACACACACAGGCACACACACACACACACAGAGACAGGCACACACACACAGACAGACACATACAGACATAGACATACACAGACACACAGGCACACACAGACACACAAACACAGAGACACACACACAGACACAGACATACACAGACACACACACACAGGCACACACAGAGACACACAAACACAGACACACGGATACACACACAGACAGGCGCACACACACACACAGAGACAGGCACACACACACAGACAGACAGACACAGACAGACATAGACATACACAGACACACAGGCACACACAGACACACAAACAGAGACACACACACAGACACAGACATACACAGACACACACACACAGGCACACACAGAGACACACAAACACAGACACACGGATACACACACAGACAGGCGCACACACACACAGAGACAGGCACACACACACAGACACATACAGACAGACACACACACAGACAGGCACACACACAGACACAGACATACACAGACACACACACACAGGCACACAGAGACACAGACAGAGACACACGGATACACACACAGACAGGCACAAACACAGACACAGACATACACACACACACACACAGAGACAGGCACACACACACAGACACAGACATACACAGACACACACACACAGACAGGCACACACAGACCCAGACATACACACACAAACAGACATACACATACAGACACAGACACAGACATACACAGACACACGGATACACACACGGACAGGCACACACACAGACACAGACATACACGCACACAGAGACACACAGGCACACACACGCACATACAGAGACACACAGATACACACAGACACAAACATGCACACATAAATACGTTCTAGCAACTTCCCAATTTCTTTTAAGATGGCTTACAATAAGAAACGAATAGAAAGACTGTTAGAAACAGAAAAACAGAAAAAAGCCAGTTATCGCGGCACACGCCTGTAATCCCAGCACTTTGGGCGGCCGAGGTGGGTGGATCACCGGAGGTCAGGAGTTTGAGATCAGCCTGGTCAACCCAGTCTCTACTACAAATACAAAAATTAGCTGGGTGTGGGGGATAGGTGCCTGTAATTCCAGCTACTTGGGAGGCTGAGGCAGGAGAATCACTTGAACCCGGGAGGCGAAAGTTGCCGTGAGCCGAGATCGCACCACTCACTCCAGCCTGGGTGACAAGAGCAAAACCTCATCTCACAAACCAAACAAAACACAGAAAAATATTTAAAAATGCAAAAGGAAAGGCATCCATGCCCCAAACTCCCACCATAATGTAGAAACTGGAACTGGGCACTGCCCTGGACAGTTTGCGGCGGCCACGCAAGGCCAGGCCAGGCCAATGAGAAATGCAATACTTTTGCTGTCTCCCGTTTTCCAGCAAAGGGAGCAAAGAATTTACTCAGCGGGATGGAGAGCTGCCTGGTGCTGATGGACCTGGGTGTTTCCGGATGGCCTGCGAGGCACGGCCCATGATCCCGATGCTGTGATTTATGAGGAGAGGCCTCTGTGCCCAGCTTCCTTGAAAACCTGCAGGGTTTTGGGGAGCTTGGCATGGACCTGGCCCAAAGGCCCCCTCGTGGTGGCTGCTGTTATTGCCTCGGGAGGGCAGAGGCCCTGGGAGGTCTCCAAGGGCACAGGTGAGCCTAGCTTCTTCCCTCACTGTGCGTTTCACCCTCTCCCAACCTCCCAAGTCCTGTGGGAAATCACAGGGCGGGGCGCTGGGGTGTAAATGTCTCCTGGAATCCCACAGTGCTGAGAAGTGGGGTCTGGCTGGGGTTAAAGGTCAGCCTCTACCCTAGCAGGAGCCAAGGGCAAGGTCCCAGCTCGTTCTTCTAAGTTTATGTCCCCACCCCTCCTACAGGGCGTGGCTCTCAGGAAGTGTCATGGTGGGGAGGAAGGCAGCTGGTGGTCATCTCTAAGACCAGGGTGGGCCAAGACCCCACATGGCCCTGGGCTGAGGCCTGCCGCACAGCCGTGGCTCCAGAGCTGGGAGCAGGCTACTCCCAGAGGCCGGCCTGCACGCCCCCAACGGACCTTTCAGAAAGCACCAAGCCCAGCCTGGCTGCTCTTGGCAGTATGCTGACAGCAGGTAGAGCTCACCAGAACCACTAACCGTGACCTTCCCCTCAAGTCAGAGACAAGGACAAATCCGCATGCCAGAGGACACACATTCCACGGCTCACAGCGCCCTTCGTGGCAGGATTGGTTTTTTTGAGACAGGGTCTCACACTGCTGCCCAGGCTGGAGTGCAGTGATCATAGCTCACCGCAGCCTCAGCCTCCGGGGCCGCTGGGTCTACAGGCATGCAACACCATGTCCAGCTAATTTTTGTATTCCTTTTAGAAATGGGGTCTCACTATGTTGCTCAGGCTGGTCTCAAACTTCTGGGCTCATGTTACCCTTCTGCTTCGGCCTCCCCAATAGCTAGGGCTATAGGCACACACCACCATGCCCAGCTAATTTTTTTTTTTTTTTTTTGAGATGGGGTCAGGCTGAAGTACAGTTGTGTGATCTTGATTCACTGCAACCTCTGCCTCCTGGGTTGAAGTGATTCTCCTGCCTCAGCCTCCTGAGTAGCTGGGACTACAGGTGTGTGTTACCATGCCCGGTTAATTTTTTGTATTTTTAGTAGAGATGGGGTCATGTTGGTCAAGCTGGTCTGAAACTCCTGATCTCAAATGATCTGCCTGCCTTGGCCTCCCAAAGTGCTGGAATTACAGGCTTCAGCAACCCTGCCTGGCCTCAGCTAGTTTTTTTTTTTTAGAGATGGGGGTCTCACCATGTTGCCCAGGCTGGTCTCCGTCAGCCTCCCAAAGTGCAGGGAGCACTGGAATGAGCCACTGTGACCCGCCACTTTTGGGTTTTCTGTGAAAGCGATGGGGCGAGGTGACTGAAGAGGTACAGGTGAGAAAGGACAGAGAAGGCAGGAAGAGAGGATGGAGCAGCGCCGGGCAGGGCTGCGGTTCACTTACTGGGGACCGGCCTCAACACGTCGGGGATGAGAATCTCCACCAGCGCCTGGTAGAGGATGTGGTCGCAGCTCCGCATCCACCTGAGGATGGGGTCGCACTGACACAGGGAGACGAGCTTGTCCTTGGGCAGGACGGCACCCTCGGGGTCTTCGTCACTGTGGAGGGTGCAGGGGGCAGGTGAGCTGTGGCCTGGCCCGGGTGGGCTCACTCAGCCGCAGGAGTGACAAGAGAGCCAGGCTGTGGGACTTGCGCCCAACAGTGGGGCTAGGGTTTTGCTCCCCATCCCTGAGCCCCTACGGGTCCCCTCCCTCCGTGTTGCTCCCTGCGCCTCTGGTCTCCCCCGGGGCCCACGCTGTCCCTCCCCTGCTGGTGGCCGTGCTGTGCCTCACTGCAGCTACGGGTTGGGGTCACTTCTACATGGCTGCATCGCGGTCACCTCTAAAATCCTTCCTGTTCTTGAAAAGGGGCAAATGGCAATGTGAATTTCAAGTCAATTCTACGAAGTCTAAAAATTACAGGGACAGAAGCAGAGGGGTCTGAGCCCTGATTCTCGGAGAGCTGACGCATTAGTTTGTGGGTTACCTGTGGGCGTCAGCAGGGGGTTAAGTCTGGGGGGGCTGTGAACCCAGCCAGGGCGTGGCAGTCACCTGGCAGGCAGAGAGGTGGGGTCTTCGCTGGAGGAGGCCTTTGAGTTCCAGAAGGAGAGCCACAGCTTCTCAATGTAGTGGAACTGGAGGTTCATCACTACATCTACAGTTGCCTAGGAATGAAGGAATCGGTGAGACAGATGGGGCCGCGCACCCATCATCTGCACTCAGCACACGCCAAGTACGCAGCTGTGATGCGGCTGCAGTGGGGTGCCCTGCAATCCCGAGGGGGGCCACAGAGAGGAGAGGAGCAGGTGGTGGACATGGATGGGAGGGGCTGCTGCTCCAGGGAGGACGCTTGTGGGTGGGCTCGGGGCTGGGGCTCCGTCTCCTCAGCATCACCTGGGGACATGGGGGACACCTGGCCTGAGCACTGGCGGTGCCTGGGAGGGACCCGTAGGAGCTGCCTGCCTGGGCCTGGGGCGGTCACCTCGCAGTGCCGTCTGTACACCAGCTGTAGGGCCTTGACATCGTGCAGGGTGATGCCCTCCTGCAGCAGGACGCTGCCCAGGTCGGGCGCTGGGAACTCGGGGAAGACATGGGAGACATCTGGGGGAGGAACATGGGAACATCAGAAACAGGGCTCTTAGGAAGCGCGGACAACTAGAAGGCCACGTGGTAGATCAGGGAGGGGCCCAGAAACAGATGCTCTGCCCCACCCCATGCAGTCACGGATTTTTTTTTGAGATGGAGTCTCAGTCTGTTGCCCAAACTGGAGTACAGAGGCACAATCCTGGCTCAGCGTAACATCCGCCTCCCAGGTTCAAGCAATTCTCCTGCCCCAGCCTCCTGAGTAGTTGGGATCACAGGCGTGCGTCACCACGCCCAGCTAATTTTGTATTTTTGTGTGTTTGTGAGAGACAGGGTTTCACCACGTTGGCCAAGTTGGTCTCAAACTCCTGACCTCAAGTGATGTGCCCACCGCGGCTTCCCAGAGTGCTGGAATTACAGGCTGAGCCACTGCGCCCGGCACAGTCAGGGAATTCGTAAGTATCAGTTTTCTCAGGTAGAAAATGGAGAGGATATTGTCACCTCCCAGGAGCATTAAATATGCAGACACAGAGGATGCCCTGAGCCCAGGCCCTGGTACACAGCAGGTACCCACAGAGCCAGCTCAGGGCAGCACATCTGGGAAAGAAGGCCAGCCACGAGTCTCCGCAGTGACCTCCTGGAGACAGGCCTGACCCCACCTCAATCTCCGCAGGAGAGTCAACCCAGGAGGGTTCTGTTTGGGCTCAAAAAAGATCATAAACTAGGTGGGGGCCTCTGAGTGGGCTCAAAAAAGATCATAAACTAGGTGGGGGCCTCTGAGTGGGCTCAAAAAAGATCATAAACTAGGTGGGGGCCTCTGAGTGGGCTCAAAAAAGATCATAAACTAGGTGGGGGCCTCTGAGTGGGCTCAAAAAAGATCATAAACTAGGTGGGGGCCTCTGAGTGGGCTCAAAAAAGATCATAAACTAGGTGGGGGCCTCTGAGTGGGCTCAAAAAAGATCATAAACTAGATGGGGGCCTCTGAGTGGGCTCAAAAAAGATCATAAACTAGATGGGGGCCTCTGAGTGGGCTCAGAAAAGATCATAAACTACGTGGGGGCCTCTGAGTGGGCTCAGAAAAGATCATAAACTACGTGGGGGCCTCTGAGTGGGCTCAAAAAAGATCATAAACTAGGTGGGGGCCTCTGAGTGTGCACAAAGCCCACTTGAATCATGATACTGACACCAGCAGGCCTTCCTGTGTTCCGCGCCCCCCAGGCCGCCCCCTGGTGGCAGGCTCTGAGTTAGGGCCTTCCCGGGGCAGAGATGGCGCCACCACTAGGCCAGCTGGGGAGGAACGCTGTCCCCTGAGCAGCCCCGAGGGAGGGGCTCATGTTGGTGAACCAGGAGCACCCCAAAAGCTCCAGGCAAAAAGGAAGAAAGCCCAGATGGCAGGCAAATCCTCGTGTAACCTGAGTGGATAATATCTAGTGTTCTTTTTTTTTCTTTGTCTCACTCTGTCGCCCAGGTTGAAGAGTAGTGGCACGATCATGGCTCACTGCACCCTCAAACTTCTGGGCTCAAGCAATCCTCTTGCCTCAGCCTCCTGAATAGGTGGGACCACAGGGGCTTGCCACTATGCCTGGCTCATTTAAAATTTTTTTTTTTTTTAAGTATGTTGCCAGGCTCATCTTGAACTTCCCCGCTCAAGCCATCCTCCACCCTGGCCTCCCAAAGCACTGGGATCACGGGCATGAGCCACCGTGCCTGTCCTCTCTGTTTCCTTCTGATGGTCATTTTACTTTATTTTTTCATTTTTCTGATAGTCGCTTTATGTATTAATTATTTTGGCATGTGCTGGTTATTCTAAAGCCTTAGGGATTTCAGAAATAAGGTTTATCTAGAACTTTCTATTTGACCAGAATGGTGTCTCAAAAGGAAACTGTCAGAAGCATCTGTTTTGATGCCACCGGCTCTGCTGGTGCTGAATGCCAGGAGTGTGGCGAGCAGATGGCAGCCCCACCCCCGGGGCCTGTGCGGCCTCTCACCTATGTACTGCTGGTGGTGCTGGCTCTGTGCGGCCATGGTCTGTTCCGGAGTGCTGTGCAGGCCACTGTGGGAGCCGCTGTCCCCAAGGCTGTCTGTCTTCTGAGCTGGCCGGTACCTGGGACGGAGGACACACATGGCACCATGAGGGCCAGCAGCCCTGCAGGGGGTGGGCCCACAGAGTGGGTGCTGGGCAGGATTCGGTCGGGCATGTGTGTGTGTGTGTATGATGTTTACAAGTTGCGGTCAAATACACACAACACGAAAGTGACCATCAGAGCCGTTTTTAGCGCACAGCTCAGAAGCGTTAAGCACATTCATGTGGCTGTGCCACCGTCACCATCATCATCTCCAGAACTTGCTCATCTTCCCACACTCACACTCTGTCTCCATGACATACTCACTCCCTATCCCTGTCCCCACCCCCTGGCACCCCCCATCCGACTTCCTGTCTCTGTGAATTGGGGGACTCTAGGGACCTCCTAGGAGTGGGATCACGCAGGAATTGTCCTTGTGCGCCTGGCTTCTCTCACTGAGCTTAATGTCCTCCAGGTCCACCAAGGTGTAGCCTGTGTTGGAATTTCCTCCTTTTTAAGGCTGAATAATATTCCATCACATGGATGAAGCACAATTTGTTAACGGACACTTGAGAAAATAGACAGATGTATTCACCCTGTAACACTTCTCTCTTAGAAAAAAAGGGAAATTCTTTGCATGAATCACAAACATCTTATTGTTGGTTCAATCTCAGAAGTTCTGAGACTTTCGCAGAGGAAGGCTTTGCAGATGACTGGCTCCTCAGAGCCCAGAGTGTGGTGTGGTGGAGGCAGGAGGGAGCTGGCCTGAGCCGAAGCATCTCCAGGGGGCACCCCTAATCAAACACAAAGTGGGGCCAAGCCTGGGGGGAAGAGGGAGACCATGGCGGCGAGCTGTGTGTAAACCAGCCGGCTCAGGGCAGGCCGTGCGCATCGCACAGACACAGGCTCAGGCTGCGGCTTCCGAATGCAAATGGCCTCAGCCTGTCCCCCTGAGCACAGTTCACAGGCGTTTGCAGGGGTCCAAAGTGAACAACAGCAGCAATGTCTGCAGACAATGAGGTACAGAAGGAACGTTCTGAAAACTCTCTCCTGGGACCTCCAACTCCTGGGAGTGGCTGTGTGGTCAGGAGTCACTGGAATGGGTTTTTGAGCCACACACCTTCATGGGTGGCTCTGTGCAGAGGGCCCGGTGCCAGGAGTGAAGGTGCCACATGAGGCTATGGGGATGCAGCCCCTGCCATCAGGGTGGGCACTCGTGGGGGTGGGTGGCTGGAGGTGCTCTAGGAGGCAGTGATATTCGAATGGGTCCTAAACCAGGGGCCAGCAAACTATGGCCTGAGGGCCACTTCTGTTGCTTGTTTTTATAAATAAAGTTTTATTGGCACATAGCCACACCCATCATTTTCGTGCTGTTTGTGGCTGCTTTCAGGATGCAGCTGAATTGAACACAGGGACTGTCCAGCCTGCAAGGCTAAGATATTTGCTCTCTGGCTCTTTACAGGGAAGGTTTGCTGATCCCTGCCTTAGAAGATGAGAAGTTTGTGATGGAGAAGAGGATATTCGAGAAAATGATCAGGGCTTTCTAACCGCTGGATCCAAAGGTCAAGAAGTTGCAACTTGAGTACACCTGCTACTTTCTCCTGGCCTCTTGGGTCATTCACAGTGTTCTTTTTTTTTTTTTTTTTTTGAGACAGAGTTTCGCTCTTGTGACCCAGGCTGGAGTGCAATGGCGCGATCTAGGCTCACTACAACCTCCACCTCCTGGGTTCAGGCAATTCTCCTGCCTCAGCCTCCCGAGTAGCTGGGATTACAGGCACGCGCCACCATGCCCAGCTAATTTTTGTATTTTTAGTAGAGACAGGGTTTCACCATGTTGACCAGGATGGTCTCGATCTCTCGACCTCGTGATCCACCCGCCTCAGCCTCCCAAAGTGCTGGGATTACAGGTGTGAGCCACCGCGCCCGGCCTTTGGATCATTCGCAGTGTTCTCTTTCTCTTTGCTTCCTAAGCTTTAAAAATTAAAGGTCTGTGATTCCAACTGTATGGCACTGGGTAAGGAGGAATGGTATGGGGATGGTACAAGGGCTAGTGGTTGGGACAGACTAACCAAAAAAAAGGGAAAGCTGAATGTGGAGGATTTTTAAAGCTGTGAAAGGGCTCTGTGTGACACTGTGAGGGGGGACACATGTCATTATACATTTGTCCAAACTGTACAATGTACAACACCAAGAGTGAGTCCTGGTGGTGACTGTGGACTCTGGGAGATGGTGATAGCTCCGTGGAGGGTCATCAGTCCTAACCCACGCACCGCTCTGTGGGGGAGGCTGATGGCGGGAGAGGCTGTGGGGAGCAGAGCCAGGGGAGAAGAGGAACTCTCTGTATCTTCTACTCAATTTTGCTGTGAACCTGGAACAGCTCTAAAAAATAACGTCTGCTACAAAGCTCGAAAGCTCTGGAAACGGTGAGCTAGAGGAGGTTTCGTCCCAGCTGCCCGTGTCTCCTGCTGGACTCACCTCATTCTCAGCAGAGGGGAATACCTTGGCTTTTCCAGGATGCTGGAGACTGGAGAGTTATTATGAGTTTGTTTCATGTTGGAGGAACACCTCCATGCTCCAAGGGAAAGCCAGCCCCGCCCCCCAGCCCCCCACCCCGCCCGGGCACCCACCTGGGCTTCTGGTGCATGGGCTGCTGCCGCATGGCCATGTACTGCGTGTCCTCCTGCAGCCGGTTCAGCGGGGAGTCTGGCTTCAGACGAATCCCGTAGTAATGGTACTTGGAGTTGCCCCTGGAAACCAAACATCCCAGGGTCAGCTCCCTTTGCAGATGTCCTGAACAATGAGATGGGTGGGGACTCTTTTTCTTTCTTTGAGACAGAATCTCATTCTGTCATCGAGGCTGGAGTGCAGTGGTGCGATCTCAGCTCACTGCAATCTCTGCCTCCTGGGTTTAAGAGATTGTCCTGCCTCAGCCTCCTGAGCAGCTGGGATTACAGGCATGGACCATAATGCTTAGCTAATTTTTGTATTTTTAGTGAAGACGGGGTTTCGTCATGTCGGGCAGGCTGGTCTTACTTGAACTCCTGGGCTCCAGTGATTCTCCTGCCTTGGCCTCCCAAAGTGCTGGGATAACAGGCGTGAGCCACCGTACTCGGCCTCTTTTTTTTTTAGAAGCAGGGTCTCGCTCTGTCACCCAGGCCTGGAGTGGAGTGGCGCAATCACCGCTCACTGTAGCCTGGACCTCCTGGGCTCAGGTGATCCTCGCGCCTCAGCCTCCCGGTAGCTGGGACTGCTGGCATGTGCCGACACACTCGGCTGGGACGCTCTCTTCCTTGCCCTTTCCCTTAGGCCTCTCTGGTTCAGCATTTCCTGAACCGCGTGAGAAATGTGATGGAGGAATTCTGCACATAATGCCCTGTCATGCAGAGCCCCTCTCATAGGATAATAAAGGCTCGGACAAGTCCTGTGCTGGGAACACCAGGGCAGCTTTGTGGCACTCCAGTGGCTCAGTCTCTATGATGATTATTATTACCACCTCTTCCCCATCCCTTTCAATCATCTAGTAACACATTTTGGAGAAAAGCACAGTTTGGGAACCATTACGTGAGCTTGCTGCAGGAGAATGATGAGCAGAGCGCTTTAGACAATTTGGTTCAGAAAACAGCTTGCAGAGACCTTTCAGGAAAGAAGCAATAATCCACAGACATGGCTGTGCAGACACCCAGCTCACAGGATGCCATTTCTCCAGAGCTGGCAACAGGGATATGCAGGAGGCACCTGGCTCCTTTCTGTTTAGTTCTTCTTCTTTTATTAAAAAAATTTTTTTGAGACAGAGTCTCACTCTGTTGCCCAGGCTGGAGTATGGTGGTGCCATCTCGGCTCACTGCAACCTCCTACTCCTGGGTTCAAGAAATTTCCCTGCCTTAGCCTCCCCAAGTAGCTGGGATTATAGGCGCATAGCACCATCCCCAGCTAATTTTTTTGTATTTTTAGTAGAGGTCAGTTTTCACCATGTTGGCCAGACTGGTCTCAAACTCCTGACCTCGGGATCCACCCACCTAGGGCTCCCAAAGCGCTGGGATTACAGGCCTGAGCCACCGCACCTGGCCTCTTTTCCCTGTTAAATTTTATTGCAATAGCAGACAGCCTGGGCCCTTTCTAGATGAGGTCCATGTTTAGCCAGGTGCTTAGAGGGAAAACAGGGCAGGGAGTGGGGGGCGGGTGGGGGGGAGAATCAGCCTTAATCCTCAAGCCAGCATGTGGGATACTCTGCAGGGGCAACCCCTCTGAGAGCAGGGGCTGTGTCCCTAGAGACCAGGCTTTCCGGTCACTTCCACTTCTTTCTCTCCTCTATGTGTCTATGATCCCTAAGGCCATTCTCTGCAAAGGGTTACAAAGTGTCAGAGAACAAGGGACTGTGGTCCTTGTGGACCCACCACCATGCTGTTTACAGACAGCCAGGACACCGGCTCTGAGAGAGAGCGTGAGTTAGCCCTAACCCCACAAAGGCAGATTTGGGTTGGAGACGCTGCTGCGTTTTTCTGTTAGAGGAGTTTGCTTTATTGTCTGTCATAAGTCTATGGCCTGTGATGCCCTGGGGCTGCCATAGACCAAGGGAAGGCGGGGTGGATCCAGGGCACGGTGGCTCACACCTGTAATCACAGAACCTGGGGAGGCTGAGACAGGCAGACCACTCGAGGCCAAGAGTTTGAGACCAGCCAAGGCCACCAAGAATTTGAGACAGTCGAAACTCCATCTCTCCAAAGATAGGGAAATTAGCCAGATGTGGTGTCAGGCGCCTGTAATCCCAGCTACTTGGGAGGCTGAGGCAAGAGAATTGCTCGAACCTGGGAGGCGGAAGCTGCAGTGAGCGGAGATGGCGCCGCTGTGCTCAGCCTGGGTGACAGAGAGACTCTGCCTCCAACAACATCAACACCAGCAAACACCAAGAAATGGTAAATCCAGCTCTGCTCCTACACCAGGGGCTACTTTTCGTATGACACAAGGTCTTGCTGTCTTGCCCAGGCTGCACTACAGTGGCGCAACCACGGCTAACTGCAGCCTTATCCTCCCGGGCTCAAGCGATCCTCCCCCTCAGCTTCCCGAAGAGGTGAAATTACAGGTATGCGAATAGGTGTGCACCACTGTCCCTGGCCAATTTTTAGTTTTTTTATTTCCTCCGTGCTCAGGAGATAGAATTTTCAGTTTTTTTGTAGAGATGAGGTCTTGCTGTATTGCCCATCTCAAGCGGTCCTCTTGCCTCAGCCTCCCAAACTGTTGGGATTTCAGGTGTGCACCACCAAAGAGGCTGCTTAAAAAAAAAAAAAAAAAAGTATGGCCAGCTCTGGAGGCCGAGGCAGGAGAATCACTTGAACCTGGGAGGCCCAGGTTGCAGTGAGCCGACATCGCGCTGCTGCACTCCAGCCTGGGCAACAAAAAGCGAAACTCCGTCTCAAACGAAGCAAAACAAAACAAAAACCTGTATTGTTTGGGAAATTTCAAAAAGAGAGAGAAAACCAGAGGGACCTCCATATCCCTTCGCCGGCTTCTAAAGCCAACACCTTGGGCTACACCTGGCCACAGCCAAGGCTGCCACCAACTGACAGGAAGTGCAGCACTCAGAGGCGGCTGTGAGTCTGGCCACCTGGACAAGAGGAGGAAGCCTCACATTTTCCAGAAAGCTCCGTTTCTCAGGAAGGGAAAAGGAAGGACAGGTGGGCTGGGGGCTGTCTACCCACCTGGTGCCCAGCCGCCGCGTTCTCAGCCCCATAAACACGGAACGGATCAGTTTCCCGAAGGAGGCGGCGTTCACGGGGTCTAGCTTGTGCTCCTGGCAGTGCCGAAGGTAGTGGTTGTAAAGGGAACTTCTGGGGAGGCTCACGCCTTCCGCAGTTTCGTAATTATCCAACAGCCACTGGAGCTGCGCAAAGAAAGACACGCCTGTGTGTCAGAATCCTGAGGGACGCCAACATGCAACACAGACTCATTAAGAGATTGACTTGCTTTCCCTGTATTACCAAATGGGGTAAGGAGATCCATCTGAGGAAGTCATCTTTTCTCTTTTTCTTTCTTTTTTTTTTTTTTTTTGAGACGGAGTTTTGCTCTTGTTACCCAGGCTGGAGTGCAATGGCGCGATCTCAGCTCACCGCAACCTCCGCCTCCTGGGTTCAGGCAATTCTCCTGCCTCAGCCTCCTGAGTAGCTGGGATTACAGGCACGCACTACCATGCCCAGCTAATTTTTTGTATTTTTAGTAGAGACGGGGTTTCACCACGTTGACCAGGATGGTCTCGATCTCTTGACCTCGTGATCCACCCGCCTCGGCCTCCCAAACTGCTGGGATTAGAGGCTTGAGCCACTGTGCCCAGCCTTCTCTTTTTCTTTTTGAGAAGGAGTCTTGCTCTGTCACCCAGGCTGGAGTGCAGTGGTGCCATCTTGGCTCACTGCAGCTTCTGCCTCCTGGGTTCAAGTGATTCTCCTGCCTCAGCCTCCCAGAGTGCTGGGATTACAGGCGTGCGCCACCACACCCGGCTAATTTTTGTATTTTTAGTAGAGACGTGGTTTCACCATGTTTCCCAGGCTGGTTTCAAACTCCTGACGTCAGGTGAACCACCTGCCTCAGCCTCCCAGAGTGCTGGGATTACAGGCATGAGCCGCCACGCCCGGCAGGGAATCCATCTTGATGGTCGCCCGATGTGTTATCTAAGCACATTAATGAATCGCTCATCTTCATTCATTGATTGATTCTTCCATGTTCGGCCTAGTTTTCAGGTTCCTGGACTCAGTTTATAAAAATCTGGGTGTGCGCAAGAACTATTAGGTGCTGTCTTCAGCCACTTAAACGCCCACACACCACCACACAGGGTTTCAGTACCAAAGAGCTCCTCAACGTACGGGAGTGGAGAGAAATTCTGATGCTAAACAGGAAGGCTGAAGAAGACTCGGGCCCCACAGCCCCGTGTTCTGCAGTCAGCAGTGAGCTAACATGCACTGAGATCCCTTACTGAGGGAGGTACAGATGGGAATTTAACAAAACACACAAACGCTTATATGCAAGGTTTTGTGTCTAAGTCAAAAGGCAGGATGTAGCTGCTTGGGAGGCTGAGGTGGGAGGATTGCTTGAGCCCAGGAAGTTGAGGCTGCCATGAGCTAAAACAGTGAGCCACTGTACTCCAGCCTGGGCGCCCGAGCAAGACTCTGTCTCTTTCAAAAAACAAAACAAAACAACAAAAAGATGGGTTAAATGAGTCTACAGCCAAGGACTATGCCCCGAGAGGTCAACACCCAGTGAGAAGGGCAAGAACTGTCCACATGAAGAGCTCAGCCCCCACACGGGGCATGGACACAAAGGTGGCCCGTCCACCGCGTGATGCCTGAGCCGAGTGCCTTAAAGGCTGCGACTTCATTCTGGTTTCCACGTCTCCCTCTCTGATCACCTGTCCCTCTGATCCAGAGAGGTCTACTATGTGAATACGAAAGTCTTTAACTGATGCCTGTGATTTGGAGAAAGACAGGAATTACACGCACGGAAGCAAGGCCCAAGTCCAGATCCCAAGACAAGAGCGTCGGGGGAAACCAGCTGCCCCTGCCTGGTCCACTCTGTATGAGGCTGTCGGCTGCTGTGTCTAGGCTGAGCTTCCAGAGCTCTGAAGGGCTCCCGCTGCCGGGGCGCTCCAGAGCGAGCAGTGCTGGGTCCTCAGCCCTCCCCCACCAGCCATGCTGCCCCTTGCAGCACCCTCTGCCTGAGAAGCCCTTGTCCCTGTGCCCTGCACATCCCACAAGACACAAAGGAGGAAATATCTGTTCACCCCCCGAAGCGTACCTACGGCACCACACACCGTCACGTCTGCCTGTGTCTGCCCCACCCACACTCAGCATTGCAAGCTCGGGAGAAAGTAAGCCATCATCTCCTCTTTATGATTTATTTATTTTTTTTTTGAGACAGAGTCTCACTCTGCCGCCCAGCCTGGAGTGAAGTGGTGTGATCTCGGCTCACTGCAACCTCTGCACCCTGGGTTCGAACAATTCTGCCTCAGCCTCCCGAGTAGCTGAGACTACCTATAGGTGTGCGCCACCACGCCCGGCTTATATTTTGCTTAGAGATGGGATTTCACCATGTTGGCCTCAAACTCCTGACCTCAGGTGATCTACCTGCCTTGGACTCCCAAAGTGCTGGGATTAGAGGTGTGAGCCACCGTGCCTGGCCTTCGTCTCCTTTTTATGAAATAGTGCTATGGGGTGGTTCTGACGAGCCCTGCACCAGCGACCAGTGCCTCAGGATCCCTCTTATCTCATCTAAGCCCCACCCACTCCAGTCTGTCCTGGCCCCTTCAGCCCTAACAGGGGCTGACCCAGGGCTACACGGGAGTGAGGACCTGCCCTGGTTGACAAACTGGCCAAAGGTTCAGGTGAAGGGGTACGTGGGGCCTGAGCGCAGAGGTCTCTTAAACCAAATTGCAGGTGAGATGCAGTGCTGAGTTCCTATTTAGAAACGGGGAGGTTAAGTCGTGGGCTGGAGTTCAGGGTAGAGAGTGGGGCCAGATGTGTCCCTCTGGCACCAAAGAGCTGAGGACAAGACCTCCGGGGGGGGAGTGGGAAGAGTCACCCAGCAGGGGCACTGCCCTCCCAGGTGCTGGGACGAAGCACTGGGATTACAGGCACATCACCAAGGCCTAGGTCTTGGAGTGCAGGTCTAGTCTCGTGTGCTGCCTCTGGGGCAAACCAGGAGGGCTTCAGGCCTCCCGACACAAGCTCTCCTCCAGCTCAGCTCCTGCAGGCAAGTCCCGTGGCCAAACATCCCCCCCTACCAAGGGAACGGGAGTGGCTCCCGCTGTGATCCCTGCACTTGGACTCCGGTTCCCTGGCAGCCCTGGAATTACTTGACCAGCCTATCACCTGCTCCGCAGCACCAGGGGCCCCTCACCCTCTTGCTACCACGAGGTCTGCCCTCTGCCGCCCGCAGGGGCCTGTGTGAAGCGCATCGTCTGCTCCTGGTCATGAGTGCAGGTGATCAATGAGCAGTTGTCAATTTCATCCGTCCAGAGTCGGGTGCCATGCGCTCGGCTGTGCCCATAACCACAGGGAGGGACCCTCTTGTTCTCTGAATAAGAGAGTTAAAACAAAGGACCATGAGAAGGGCCCCGGAGTGGAGACTTCACCTCTTCCTCATTTGCCTCTTTGGGAAAAGGACATCAGATTTTTTACTTTCCATCAAGCCATTCACACCTTTCATCTTCCAGCCTTCCGGACTGGACTTTTCTGATCCGATGGAGGCAGTTACTCTTTTCTCCTCCAAGGTCTGGCTCCGACAGAGTGCTTGGACCCTTAAGAGCTCCAGAGTGTTCCCTGTATTTAATGCTATGAACCACAACCTTGATGTTGAAGTGTGTGTGTACATAAATATATATATAGATATAGAGAGAGACAGGGTCTCGCCCTGTCACCCCAGGCTGAAGCGCAGTGTTACAGTCATGGCTCACTGCAGCCTCCAACTCCCCGGCTCAAGCCATCCTCCCGCCTCAGCTTCCCAAAGTGCTGGGATGACAGGCGAAAGCTGGAGTGGGCCCTGAAGCTTTTCTCACAGCGCCTTCACCATCCAGATTTGTCACGTGTGCTGGTTGATATATTGCCTGTGTCCCTCGGAGTGCTTGCTCCCTGAGGGTGGAGATGGAGCCAAGTTTACCCATGTGGGCATCTGCAGGATGCTGGAGATGTCTCAAGCCTAGCAGCAGAGAAAGACTGTCCGAGGAGGTAGGTGGGGAGCAACAGAGGGTGTCTAGGTGAAGAAGACAGAGGCTTTCCTCGGTCATTCTGTGGCTGGGGGCACAGGTGCCACTTCTTAGATTGTCCCATGGGCAGCAGGAGCCAGGGCCAGTGGATCCACATCTCAAGGAGCCAAACGATGTCGTGGGTTTTCAGGCTAAAAGTGTGAGGCCAGATTTCATGGGCGGTAAGCTGGAAGGAGTCCTTCGAGGTTGGAGTCTAAGACTCCATCCGCAGCAGGACACACTGGCTCACACATACAAAGAAAGCTTCGGAGCAGATCATCCTTCTGCTGTTTACCCCTGACCCCCCCAACCCCGTGCTATTTAAACTAAGAGTAGAATCCTTTGGTTGGGTGATTATGTTGACAGTGACACTAAAAGGATGCTTGGTTTTCTTGACAAGTCCTTCCTGCTAAACATAAAACACGGAGAAGACAGACTTGGCTGAAACAGTCCGGTCCACTTCCTCCCCCTTCTGCATGGATGAACTTCCAGGAGGGGAGATGGGTTAGAGCTGAGGTGTGATGGGCTTGCAGACTTTGTTGAAGGTCCACGCTCACCAGCAGGCTGGATGTAGTCACCTTTCCGGTTTGGGCATACTCTGCAGTCCGCTTTGTCTGCTGATATTTGTGCTATTTCTGTGTCAGCATCAAACATGAATAAGCAGAACACTTTCCAAGGAAACGTACATGTGTATCCCCGTTTGTTGCCATCTGTCGGGACAGCACACTTCTTGATGAGATGAATCAAATCCTTCCTTTTAAGGAAAAAAAAAAATCCCAAAATGCCAACGCCTCCCTCTCCCCCTCCCCCCACTACCAATGGCTGGTGGTTCTGGGCTCTTTGCAGGCAGAGCCCCCACGGACAGATGTCCTCACCTGCAGGTGGGAAAGCGGGGATCGTGCCCACCTACCCAGCCCCCTTCCTCTTATAAGATACTTGTTTCCAGGACTGGGGGCAAATTTGCCTGACACTGGCTCCTCCTGGTAGTGAGTTGGAGTCTTGCCAGGCCATACACAGCAGCTTGGGCAGCTCTTCCAAGTGCCCCTGTGTGCTCTGTGTTGACATATTCTGGCTTGGAACACCCACCTTTTCATCCACACCCCAAATATTTATGAGAACTGGCACTGTGCCAGGCCCTGTTCCGACCCCTGAGCTTGGGATTCAGCAGCAAGTAAAAGACAAAAACCCTGCCCCCTGTAAGCGCCCGTTCCTGTCTGGCAGAGACCCACAATAAATAAGTAAAATGAACCGAATGAGAGCTGCTTCTGAGTCCTGTGAGAGAAATTAACCTGGGAAAGGGGACGGGGCGCTGCCACTGATGGACTGGTGGGAGGGCTGCAATCTAATCGAGGTGGGGTGGGGGTGTCAGGCAGGGCTCACTGAGAAAGTGCCCAGTGTGTGAAGACTTGAAGGAGGTGAGGGGGAGCCTGGGGGAAGAGAGCTTCAGGCTGAGGGCTCCACAGTGCAAAGGCCCTGGGGCAGGTCTGAGCCTGGCGCACTGGAGGAACAGCGAGGAGGCCTGTGTGGCTGGAGCAGAGTAAGGAGTGGGAGAGAGCAGGTTGTGCAGTGCCTTGTGGGCCATTTTGACAACACTGGCTTCTACTTGGAGGGCCAAGGGGAGCCCTGGAGGCTTCTGAGCAGAGCAGTGCAGCCATCTGACCTGAGTTTTAGCAGGACCGCTCTGGCAGCTGCTGTGAGGAGGAGGCTGGGTAAGGGTGCGTGCCGAGGGCTGGCTAGGAGGTGGCCGAGAGAATCCACGGGAACAGTGGTGGCTGGGGAAGTAGTCGAGGTGGAGGAGGTGGGGGTGCTATCTGGTTCTGGATCCTTCTTGAAGTGAGGTTGAAGAGTGGGGGGGGCCTGGAAGGGGTGACGGTGAGGGGAGGCCTGGGAGGGGTGAAGGTGAGGGGGGCCTGGGAGGGGCGAAGGTGAGGGGCGGGCCTGGGAGGGGCGAAGGTGAGGGGCGGGCCTGGGAGGGGCGAAGGTGAGGGGCGGGCCTGGGAGGGGCGAAGGTGAGGGGCGGGCCTGGGAGGGGTGAAGGGGAGGGGTGGGCCTGGGAGGGGCGAAGGTGAGGGGCGGGCCTGGGAGGGGTGAAGGTGAGGGGGGGCCTGGGAGGGGCGAAGGGGAGGCGCAGGGGGTGTTGGGGGTGGAGGTGAGTACTGAGCTAAGACGCTAATTCAAGTGGGGCAGAGACACTGAGGGAAAACAGCGTGGCCGGGACTGCGGCTGCAGGAGCAGCTTCTGGACAGTCCCCTTCTGAGCCTGCAGGATGGCACGGCCATAGCGCCAGGCACACAGGTCACCAGCTGAAGGCTAGATGGCCTATGACAATTTGTGCTTCTTGATTTCAAAACAAAAAGTCCCATAACCCACACACAACTCTTCTAAACGCGGCTCTCTCCCGCAGGTGTGCAAGCGAGGAGTTTATTTTAGTAGACAGCGCCACCTCATGGCGATGGAGACACGGTGACCCTCCTGCGGGGTCTGGGTCGGCTGGTAGCCTGAGGGCAGCCTGGTGCCCCCCCTGGGGCTGAGGACACCTCTTCTGCTCAAGGCGGCAGCCTGCCACACCCTGTCAGGCGAAGACATGTTTCACCCCCAGCCCCAGCTCCGTCCCCTTCCCTCTGGAAGGGCTAATCCCATTTTCACGCCACCATATTCTGCCCTTCCCCAGTTTGGACACTGCTAGGGGCCTCCTCCTCCCTTCGGGTTTCCACGCCAGGCTGACCATCAGCCGGCTGGCACATTCTTCCAACGTGCAGACCCCCGGGCCCTGCAGACCCTCCGGAGGGGAAGCCTGGGAGGCTCCTGTTGGCCGGCTGGGTCCGCACAGTGCTGTTTCATTTCACCAGGCTCCCAGCACCTGAATACCCCTTCCCTCCTGAGACAGCGCGCAGAGGGAACCCGCCCTGTGGAACACGTGGCCAGCTCCACTCAGAGACCTCTGTGACCTCTGTGGGTGGGCTCCCAACATTTTCCACCTTCTGCCCTCAAATGCTAAGCTCCCTGGAGTGACCTTTTTCTCCTTTTTTACTCCCTATGTTCGGCACTGACCTGGCCAGAACCCTGCACACGGTAGGTGGTTGGGTGACGTCACCAGTTGGCAGCAGGAAAGAGGCGCACAGGCCCTGCTGCTGGGGGACCCTGCCTGGGGATCTCTGAGAAGAGAAGTCTGGGAGGACACTGGGAAAATGGGTCCCCAGGGCCCAGCTGCCCCACACTCCTGGCTTATCTGCTGCAGGTTCGGGCTGGCAAGGGAGGTGGGACTGTGGCTGTGCCTCCGCCTGACCCGCAGAACGCTGCTGCCCACCACTAGCTCAACCTCAGCCACAGGCAGCCCCAGGGAAAATCGCCGAGTGTGCGCTGCCAGGCAGAGGGCACGCTGCCCTGTCCATCAGCAGATCACGTCCTTTAACTCCTCTCTCCCTCTCTGGCTCTCACATTTGCCAAAACAAGATCTAGGTTTATTCTACGCATGTGTGGTGAACTGTTTAGAAAGATCTTATTTCCACCTCCTTTGCTTTGAGTCACCAAGCCCCGAACCTTACTGATCACAGCTCAGGACGGAAGGAAACAACTCAACAGCATCATCAGTGAGAACAAGAAACAGGAGATTTTACCTGCTGGAAAAGTCGGCTCGGAAATGTGAATCTGCAGGGAAGCAACCCAAGAAAGTCTGCCTTTCGGATGAAGTATTAGAAAGCAGGAAGGATCCCGGCAGCCAGAGGCAAGCGGCTCATGCATTTTCCCATAGACATTTTTTGTTTGTTTGTTTGAGATGAAGTCTCTTTCTGTTGCCCAGGCTGGAGTGCAATGCCACGATCTTGGCTCACTGCAGCTTCCACCTCCTGGGTTCAAGCAATTCTCCTGCCTCAGCCTCCCAAGTAGCTGGGACTACAGGTACCCACCACCATGCCTAGCTAATTTTTGTACTTTTGGTAGAGACGGGGTTTTGCCATGTTGGTCAGGTCAGGTCTAGAACTCCTGACCTCAAGTGGTCTAGCCGCCTTGGCCTCCCCAAGTGCTGGGATTACAGGCATGAGCTGCCATGCCTGGCTCATTTTCCTATAGACATTTTAACTCTCCTGTGGATACGCTGCCTACTCGGGCTCTGTGGCCCCATCCTGCCTGCATCACGTGGCCCTCTCGTCCGGGGCAGATACCCTGGGCCCACATGGGTTTGCTTTAAGGCTGAAGACAGCCCGATCCTTGCTGAAGGGGGATTATCATTCTGCACACTTCCCTGTGTATGTGCTCGGAGTTTAAATCTTGGGGTTGGGGAGAGCCTCTTTCCGGGAACGTGCGGAAGATTTCTTCTCCCTGGAATCGTCTACAGGGAGACACCATCCAGCAGTGACAGGTGGCAGGATGACCACGTCCTGCCCAGCCTGGAGACGGGCGGGCACCGAGCAGGGGCCTGGCGGGGTGTTTCATTTTGTTTTGTCTTTTTTGCTTCAAGACAATCAGCGGAAGGAGATATTTCTGCTATTTCTCGTAGTGACCAGCTCCCGAGGCAGAGGGCAGAGGCCTCGGCAGGGGCTGCCTTGAGCAGGTGACCCCTGTGCCTAACCCATAAATCCAGGTTTCTGGACCTGCCCCACATCGCCTTCCACCCCCAGAACCACTCACTGCCTTTTGAGTAACGGCTCAGGTTAAACCTGGGCCAGCACGGAGTCACGATGGAGTCACTCAGGATTGGGGTCCACTCAATGGGAACTTCTTCCTCTGTGATGTCTGAATTCTCAAGGGAATGTCACATCCCAATTTAAGTGCCAGAGAACAACTCCTAGGAGCACATTCTGACTACAATGGCCTGTCCTAGTTTTAAAATGGCAAACAATTTCCAGCTATGTGCAAAGCCGAATCGAGAACGTCTGGGGAGAAGAGAAAGCGACGAGTGTGAGGAGGCCAGGGTTTTCCTTCTCTACTGTCCCTGGAAACAAAGGCAGAGCTGGCCACCTCCTCCAGTCCCCCCTGCTGTGGAGCTGTGCAGAGCTGAGATGCCCACAATCTCCTGTCATGGGGCCTGTGATCACGGTCTTCTCCCAAGAGACAAGGGGAGGAGAAAAATCTTACGTGCTAAAGTCTATACGAATTACCTGCTTGATGCTTTTCTCAAATTACCGTTTCTTCCAAGAGAGGACTCCAGAAAAATGAGCTAAGAATCTATGGCATTCTTGACCCTGTGTCGTTTTCTCTCTTTGTTGCTGTTGCTGATTTTTGTACTGTTTTATTTTTCATATATAACTGTACTGCTTATCGCCTGCCAGGTATTGTTGAAAGCATTTGGCATATGTTAAATAATTTGCCCCCTATGACAACCCCAGGAGGTAGGTGTTGTTAGAAACTACCTTTTACAAATAAAGAATCTGGTGATTTCTCCTTATTGTTGAAGGGTGTTTTTGCTGGATGTAGAATTCTAGATTGCCTTCCCCCCCAACCACCTTTCACAAATGACACTTTAAAGGTGTCATTTTATTGCCTTTGGTTTATTTTATTTTATCGAGATGGAGTCTCAACCTGTCACCCAGGTGGGAGTGCAGTGGCATGATCTCAGCTCACTGCAACCTCTGCCTCCAGGGTTCAAGTGATTCTCCTGCCTCAGCCTCCCGAGTAACTGGGATTACAGGCGCCCGCCACCACGCCCAGCTAATTTGTATGTTTTTGTAGAGATGGGGTTTCATCATGCTGACCAGGCTGGTCTCGATCTCCTGAACTCAGGTGATCCACCCATCTCAGCCTCCCAAAGTGCTGGGATTACAGGCGTGAGCCACCATGCCCGGCTGCCTTCGTTTGCTTTAAAAATGTCTATGGAGGTTATAAGCAGAGCAGGGACAGGTCACCAGGTCAGACACACACTTACATGGCTGTTGAGTAAACCGCTTTTGTGTGATGTGAGTCCTTCGCTTTTTTGGAGGTTTTCAATCGCCATTTCAAGCTAAAGAAAATGTGTGCAGAAACAAAACAAAACAAAATGGAAAAAAAAAAAGGAAATCAGATGGTTAGCATCAGCCAAGGTTTGTTCTCATTAATATCCAAATAATGATTTGAGCTCCTACAAAATAAAAATGAGGCTCCACACAGGCAGGGCGGTGGGGGTGAGTTCAACTGCGCATTAAGGCTGCGGCAGGGAGTGTTGCTTTGCACACGCAGATAAGCCCAGGAGCCCGTCCGACACAAGCAGCAGAAGTCGTGTTGTAAAAACCTGCAGCTGAATTTGCACCTGGCAAATGCGTGTGCGCATCTTAACATTAATATGCAGCTGCTGCATTCATTCCAGTGTCAACTGGGCCAGCATAATAAACACCTGCTCCTCTCCCCATGCCACACTGATGGGGAACCGGGAGAACGAAAGCAAGGACAGACGGCAGCCTTCACTCCCCAGCAAGCCTGTCCCATCGCAAAGCCCAGGGTCTCCCCGCTGCTGGATGTTTTGGGAAAATACCAATGAGACCAAAGACTCAGACCCTGCCGTCAGGAGGCCATAGGATCCAGGGCCACTGGACGCTGTCTGGCGAGTGTTTATCTAGTGGGACCTGTGCGAAGAGGGTGTTTGGAAAAGAGAAAAGAGTTTTGGAAGAAAGAGTTGGGGAGCTAACAGCAGAACTTCCTGAAGGATGAGGGTTTTTAAGTTGGATCCTGTAGGGCGGTGGGTGGCAGCTCCATGCGAAAACGGAGACACCCAGATGTGTGTGGCCGCCAAGGCATTCACACACACTTAGCTCATCCTAGACTCGCACCCGGAAAGTCGTGATGTAAAATCTGCTGCTGCTGCCCACCCTGACGACCAGAGAACTGAGACGGAAGCAAAGGAACCTGAAGTATGCGCTTCCTTTCCTGAAACACCCAGGGAGGACAAAGACTTCAGGACCCTTCCTCAAAGAGCAGGTTGAGTGCGTATTTCAGAGAGCAGCGCGTGGAGCTGAGTTCAAGAATGACAGGGTAACTACTTCACTCATGGCCTCCAACCACTGTCCGTCTGCCTTCTCTCATTAGCTACCCTTGCTTCTAGTCAAGAAGGATGGCAGGGTCACCTTTAAGAAGTACAGAAGGTTGGCCAGGTGCAGTGGCTCACACTTGTAATCCCAGCACTTTGGGAGCCCGAGGCGGGTGGAACATGAGGTCAGGAGTTCAAGAGCAGCCTGGCCAATATGGTGAAACCCCGTCTCTACTAAAAATACTAAAACTAGCTGGGTGCAGTGGCACGTGCCTGTAGTCCCAGCTGCTCAGGAGGTTGAAGCAGGAGAATCGCTTGAACCTGGGAGGCGGAGGCTGCAGTGAGCCGAGATTGTGCCACTGCACTCCAGTGTGGGTGCCAGAGGAAGAAGAAGAAGAAGAAGAAGAAAGAAGAAAGAAGAAAGAAGAAAGAAGAAATAAGTGCAGAGAGTGGAGGACCAGGGGAAAGGGGAAAAGTAGGATGGTGAGACCTACCCCACCCATCAGCCTCAGGGCACAGGCGATGAGAAGGCCATCACCACCTCTATGATAGAAAAAACAAACTTACCACCCCCAAGTTTTGGGGCCATTCTGATCTGCAGCTTGGGCAGGTGAGTACTGCCTTGTGGCACCTTCCCTGGAGGACACCGTTTACCTATGGGTGCCCCGAGAGCAGAGTGCACGACCTCTGAAGTCTGCCCTAATCTCAGGGGCGTTGTCTACTGCCCAGCAGACTGGGAAGGAGAAGAAAACACTGTCTCCCCAGCAGAGTGGGTCTCAATTGTGGTCTGTTAAAAAATACACTATTAAAAAATTTTGAGATTTCCCCGCCCCCACCCCTGAAAAAGAGCTTTATTTTTTTTTTCTTTTCTTGAGACAGAGTCTTGCTCTGTCATCCAGGCTGGAGTGCACTGATGTGATCTCGGCTCACTGCCACCTCTGCCTCCCAGACTCAAGTGATTCTTGGGCCTCAGCTTCCTGAGTAGCTAGGATTACAGGCGTGCGCCACCACACCCAGCTAACTTTTGTCTTTCTTAGCAGAGATGGGGTTTCTCTATGTTGGCCAAGCTGGTCTTGAACTCCTGTCCTCAAGTGACCCACCCGCCTCGGCCTCCCAAAGTTTTGGGATTATAGGCATGAGCTACCACAGCCTGCCTGCTTTTGTTTTTAAAAGTTAAATCTATTATTTCCCTTATTAGCATCAAAATAAAAAATTTTAAAAACAACGTATTAATTCATAAAAAAAATAGAAACCCATTATAGGTTAACACTTAAAGAATAGGTACACTTTCCCAATTTAAAATACAACAACCCAAAACGAGAAGAGTGGAATGATTCCACATCTTTAAACAGACAGAAGAGAGCTCTATATACCTGCTTCTGTATCTCCATCTATTATTGTATACCGTTTTAGTTGTACAATGAGAAAACGTGCCTCACACAGCTCTACAGCTGGCAAATGAGCACTGTTTTAATAGCCTTTTCAGATCACTGTGGATATTTTTACTTGATACCATAGCAACACTTGACACCTGGTAATTTCTTAAAGGTTAGCTGCGATGTGGAATCTGAGATCCTATCAATGAGCTTTTCATGCTCAGTTACATTAACATCCATTACTCTCGAGCTGACATCCATGAAAATCGCGGAGTAAGGAACTCCAAAATCCATCCCTTCACAAAAGCAGTAAAAAAATGGGCAAAAACTGTCAGAATTGACTTTCTCAGAACTCTGGAAATGAATTAAAAGATTATGGCAAACAGGTGAACCCGTAATCAAAAAAAAAAAAAAAAAAAAAAAAAAAAAAAGATGAAACTTGGCATTTAAGGAAATCTCCATCGAATCACTAGTTGACCACTAAGCTAGCCAGATAGAGATTTCGGCCTGGCACGGTGGCTCACACCTGTAATCCCAGCACTTCAGGAGGCTGAGGAGGGTGGATAACTTGAGGCCAGGAGTTCAAGGCCTGCTTGGCTAATATGGTGAAACCCTGTCTCTACTAGAAATACAAAGAAAAAAAATTAGGTGGGTGTGGTGGCACATGCCTGTAATCCCAGCTGCTGGGGAGGCTGAGGCAGGAGGATCACTTGAACCCAGGAAGGGGAGGTTGCAGTGAGCCAAGATCACACCACTGCACTTCAGCCTGGGCAACAGAGTGAGACTGTCCAAAAAAAAAAAAAATGCAGATTTTACAGAATTAGTCCAGAAAGGTCCTGAAAAACAAACAACCAACGACACCTGTAAGCAGCAACGGCGGACGCTGGGGGAACAGAAGAACCCGTATCCAGAGTCACCGGCGGACGCCGGGGGAACAGAAGAACCCCTATCCAGAGTCACCGGCGGACCCTGGGGGAACAGAAGAACCCGTATCCAGAGTCACCGGCGGACGCTGGGGGAACAGAAGAACCCGTATCCAGAGTCACCGGCGGACCCTGGGGGAACAGAAGAACCCGTATCCAGAGTCACCGGCGGACGCCAGGGGAACAGAAGAACCCGTATCCAGAGTCACCGGCGGACGCCGGGGGAACAGAAGAACCCGTATCCAGAGTCACCGGCGGATGCCGGGGGAACAGAAGAACCCGTATCCAGAGTCACCGGCGGACCCTGGGGGAACAGAAGAACCCGTATCCAGAGTCACCGGCGGACCCTGGGGGAACAGAAGAACCCGTATCCAGAGTCACCGGCGGACGCCGGGGGAACAGAAGAACCCATATCCAGAGTCACCGGCGGACCCTGGGGGAACAGAAGAACCCGTATCCAGAGTCACCGGCGGACCCTGGGGGAACAGAAGAACCCGTATCCAGAGTCACCGGCGGACGCCAGGGGAACAGAAGAACCCGTATCCAGAGTCACCGGCGGACCCTGGGGGAACAGAAGAACCCGTATCCAGAGTCACCGGCGGACCCTGGGGGAACAGAAGAACCCGTATCCAGAGTCACCGGCGGACCCTGGGGGAACAGAAGAACCCGTATCCAGAGTCACCGGCGGACGCCAGGGGAACAGAAGAACCCGTATCCAGAGTCACCGGCGGACCCTGGGGGAACAGAAGAACCCGTATCCAGAGTCACCGGCGGACGCCAGGGGAACAGAAGAACCCGTATCCAGAGTCACCGGCGGACCCTGGGGGAACAGAAGAACCCGTATCCAGAGTCACCGGCGGACGCCGGGGGAACAGAAGAACCCATATCCAGAGTCACCGGCGGACCCTGGGGGAACAGAAGAACCCGTATCCAGAGTCACCGGCGGACCCTGGGGGAACAGAAGAACCCGTATCCAGAGTCACCGGCGGACGCCAGGGGAACAGAAGAACCCGTATCCAGAGTCACCGGCGGACCCTGGGGGAACAGAAGAACCCGTATCCAGAGTCACCGGCGGACCCTGGGGGAACAGAAGAACCCGTATCCAGAGTCACCGGCGGACGCCAGGGGAACAGAAGAACCCGTATCCAGAGTCACCGGCGGACCCTGGGGGAACAGAAGAACCCGTATCCAGAGTCACCGGCGGACCCTGGGGGAACAGAAGAACCCGTATCCAGAGTCACCGGCGGACCCTGGGGGAACAGAAGAACCCGTATCCAGAGTCACCGGCGGACCCTGGGGAACAGAAGAACCCGTATCCAGAGTCACCGGCGGACGCCAGGGGAACAGAAGAACCCGTATCCAGAGTCACCGGCGGACCCTGGGGGAACAGAAGAACCCGTATCCAGAGTCACCGGCGGACGCCAGGGGAACAGAAGAACCCGTATCCAGAGTCACCGGCGGACCCTGGGGGAACAGAAGAACCCGTATCCAGAGTCACCGGTGGACCCTGGGGGAACAGAAGAACCCGTATCCAGAGTCACCGGCGGACGCCAGGGGAACAGAAGAACCCGTATCCAGAGTCACCGGCGGACCCTGGGGGAACAGAAGAACCCGTATCCAGAGTCACCGGCGGACGCCAGGGGAACAGAAGAACCCATATCCAGAGTCACCGGCGGACGCTGGGGGGAACAGAAGAACCCGT